GTTCCTTGGTGCTGCCCGCCGCCTGCCTCCCCGTCCTCTACGGCTGCGTGCACCGGCGGCTGAGGCGCCACGCGGCGCCGCTGCGGGGCCCCGACGCCACGCGTCGTGCCAGGGCACACCGGCAGGCCCTCCGCGTCCTGCGCGAGTGACACCCCGTCCTCCTTATCGTTATTATTGTTGTTAGTTTTACCTGTAGGGGAGGTCTCGTTTGCTCGCTGCGCGGGAGAGCTCTCACCCGGGCTGCCATCAGCTGTCCACAAGGAGAGCAGAGGCAGCAGAGAGGAAAGAAATTGAACCCCCCAGAGAATTCCCTTCGCTGCCCTCCTTCCTGGAGGAAGGTGTTTGAAGTGCAGCGAGCACAGGGTTTTCCAGCACAAACGCTCGTGTCCAAGATTTCCCACAGTTACTTCGGAGCCCACTGACACCCGCTTATCTCAGAGGAGCTGGTGGCTCTGCATGCGTGACAGATTCCAGCGCTGACTTGCTTTGGCCGGATGGCTTTTCCCAAGCTCCGAGGAACGTGAAGGATGCTGGCTGACCGGTTATTTGCTTTGCTTGCATGCGTATGTGGATAAATAATTGAAAAATATAAAAATAATTTAAAATGCAGTAATTTATTTCATAGGAAGCATTGCTGAGACACCTATTTCCCCCTGATCGCCCCGATTTAGTTGTTCTCATCCGCTCCTGTTAGTGTTGGCGTTGTTACAGAGAGTTATGCACGTTTCCCCAGCTAACTTAGCTCTTGGAGTTTAGCTGAAGATTTTTCCCTGTTACCTTTTTTTGATCTAACAGCTGCACTTGATGCTATTCCCGCCTTCATGGCTTTCCACCTACTTAATGCCATTGCTTCCCTGCACCTTCTGCCCCAGGGCGTGAAGCTCGGGTGACGGGAGGGCTGGAGGGTTAACCCGGCTCCTGACCGTGCCGCTTTGCCTTGCAGTGGCCGTGGTTCTGGCCTTCGTCATTTGCTGGCTGCCCTTCCACGTGGGCAGGATCATCTTCGTAAGCACTCGGGGCACGCGGACGATGCTCTTCTCGCAGTACTTCAACCTGTTGGCTCTGCAGCTCTTCTACCTGAGCGCGTCCATCAACCCCATCCTGTACAACGCCGTGTCGAAGCGGTACTGGGAGGCGGGCGCCGCCTGCCGCGCGGCCCGGCCCGACGGGCCGTCCCGCTCGCCGGGGACACAAGCGTGTGAGCCCCCGCTGACTCCCTTCATTTTCACCGGAGGGACAGCCAAGGGGGACGTCTGTCAGTGTCTGTGGTGCTTTGTAACTCTTTGTATCTTTAAATACTTGGGATTTTTTCAAAAGGTAATGCAGCAGGAAAGGCTGGAGTAAATTATCCGTAAAACTGGTTTCAGGGGGCTATGTGTTGTCTTCCCCATGTGTCTTCCCCTGCTACAAGTTCTCATGTTTTCTAACAGTCCTAATGCCAAGGACTGCAAAGGCGGATGGAGTTCAAGGGAGAGGTTCTGCTTGAGCCCAGAAACAAAAAAGCCTCCCGCAGAGACGCTGCCATTTTAAAATAATTCCTTAGAAGCCCAAGTTTTGCCAGACATTGGTGCTAATCTTCAAGGAGCCAGATGCCAAAGAAATGGCGCCTCCCTTGGAACATCCTTGGCAGGAGGGGACGTGTGTTTTGGCCCCAGGCTTGCGGTGGTGGCTGCAAGACCCCTGGGCAGCTTCGCCACCTCTCTGCCAGGAAGGTACCTGCTCTGGGCACCTCGACCCTTCCAGCCTGAGCCAGGCAAGCAGGCAGGGCCCGCTTAGCGCCAGTGACAGAATCACAGAATGGCTGAGGTTGGAAGGGACCTCTAGAGATCATCTAGTCCAACCCCCTGCTCCAGCAGGGACACCTAGAGCACATGGCACAGGGTGGCATCCAGGTGGGTTTGGAAGATCTCCAGAGAAGGAGACTCCACAACCTCTCTGGGCAGCCTGTTCCAGGGCTCTGCCATCCTCACAGTGATGACTCACTGCAGGCGCAGCACCTCAGATGATATTCCTAGAGTTAACCAGGGCGGGTTGACCTTAGGTACTGCTTAGAGTTAACTAGGTCAGGCCCCATCGCCTGGACTGCCCCCAGCACTTACTGTGGTGTCAGGCCCTGGTGATCTAAAAAGAGGACAAAATCAGTGAGGTCAGGCTGCATTTGCCTCTGTGATGCTGGCGGCAGCCCCACACTTGCCTTCGGCTGCCTTTGAACCCTAACGCCACGCGATTCAGGGACAGCAGCAAGAACCCAAGGCCAGCGCAAAGATCCCGAGACGGCGGAGTCAAACCCAGGTCTTCGCCAGCTCTTAAAGAGGTGACCGAGCTCTTCGTCCAATGCTCCATAGCCCTGAGTCACTACAAAGGAACATGGAAAGACAGGAAAAGCTGTAGGTCGCTGCCCGCATGTGAAGCCTTCTCCTGTGGCCTTCAGCTGTGCGTGTGGTCTGGGCTCAGGTGCTCTCCTCCCTTGATTTGCTTTTTGCAAGCAGCGTGGGGCTCCTCCAACATGTTGTTCTGGCCCTGCTTAGCCCCAGGCTGCCTGTAGAGGCCTCCATGCCGCACGGAAATGGTCTGGATGGCTGGGAAAATCATTTATATTCCAGTTCTAAATATCCCTTCTGCAGGTGCAGTGGAACAACACATGCACCAAACCCCGTTAGGGAGCACGCACTGCCTGTTAATGAATGTGCTGTCCCCGTGAGAGCAAATATTTAGGCAATAAATGGAATTTGGTGATTCGTTTCTCAGAAATATCACTGCCTATGGCGGTCTCCATTCGGTTGTATAAGGAGCGAAGCTGGAAATAAAGTTAAAAATAAAAGACTGTGTTATTTATCTCTGGGAACTGTGTGTGCGGTTGTGGCCATGTTATCTTTAAAAGAAGCACTGCAGAAGAAGTCTTGGTACAGACTGCGAGGTGGGGAAAACGGATCGGGGGGCAGAACAACCTTGCTATGTAGAGAGAAAAATGAGGATGACAATTTTAAAAAGAGATACCATGGGATGCCGTATTCCCTTGGTTTAACATAGCTTGATTGGCACTTGCAGCGCGCTGACACTAACCCACTGTCTTTTTTAGCATGACTCTCAAATAAAGTATATATTGGGCTACAGACAATAGATACTAGTTATCTATTCTAAACATAGCATTTCTATTCTCAAATAAATGTTGTGGAAATCTAGACGTTTCTTCCTTGCTGTAGGAACTAGTATTTTTCTCTTCTAGACTGCATAAACAGATGCCCCATAAGGTTGTTGCCTCATTTCTCATTTAGCAAAATCCCAGATGTTTTTCAAGTGGATGATAAATCACAGTTTCCCTCTATGTTCACCAGCTTTCATTTACATACACATATATGTGCGTGTACATATGCTCATTTTTTTTTTAACTGTGGTTCTTTCTTTCTGGATTTGAAACAAATGGTCCTTGTGAAATATCTGCATTTACTTCATTACAAAAAGACAAGCAAATCCTATTTTCTCATGTCTCTCTGGAACTCGTGTGAATCAGGCAAAGACAACTCATTGCAAGGGCATCTTCTGCAAGGAATTAAAGCTTTTGAGTGTTGGGTACCAAACGGTATCATCCAAAAAAGTAACTGCCTTCTAGAAACAGGCTGGGCAGTACCAAATTTACTGGATCCCCAGGCCAAAAAGCCTGAGGCAGTGGAAGAGCTGGGGGAACGCAGCAGCTTCCTCCTCTTCATCCGCAGCTTCTTCAGCAGCTTCCTCCACATTCAATCCATAGGCCCTGTATGTGAACAAGCCCTGGAGTTACCCCTTCCTGATGCTACCCAGCTAGATCAGGAGGAGGAGGGTCAAGAGGAGGTGCTTCAACGCAACGGGTCATTTATAGCACGACTCCCAGGGAAGGAGTCAGAACCAACCCTGAACCTTGAGGTACAGGAGCTACCGTGAAGAACATGGATTAGAACCAAGAGATCCAGCAGCCCTGCAGACGCAGAGGTAGGAGAGAGCAGTGGAGAGAGGCTGGTGGGGCTTGAGGCGTTTAAACACAAGCACTAAAGAAAAGCAAACGAAATTAAAACTTAAACATAAGCAAAAGTATTAGAGGTGACATAAGCAGGTTCGCTTTTTAAACCAAGCGATTCTGCTTACAAGGATTCCTGAGGATAGTAAGATACAGACCTTAAGCTCCATTTAAATGTATCATGATAAATCAGTTGAGAAATCAAGGTTTCTAACCATCAGCTTAAGGTGCTTGTGGCCATGACCAGTTCACAGGGGTTCTTTGCACACACATGTCTAGTTATGTATGTCCTACGCAGCCACGTGGCTCAAAGCTGTATGAGGCCCTTGCAGGCTCAAGTCTTGCTTCCTTGTGCGTCCTTTCTCATGGGCCTTGGTGGACACAGCCCATCCAGAAAGTCTCTGCAAAGATCATTAACTAAATGATTAAATCACTGAAGTCTAACAAAGATCATTAAAGATCGCAGGGCGTCCTTAACCACAAACAACCCGGCTCTTGGTTTTGCCCAGGGTGTGAGGAGGATGAGGAAAATAGAGTCAAACTCATTCCTTTCCACAAGTGCTGCAACATTTGCTGCTCGTGCGGAAGGAAGAAGGGAAGATGGAGTTGCCTGAAAACACAGCCCTGGTCAAGACAAGCCTGGGAAAAGCTCAGGAAAAGTCTGAAGAGCAGCAGATCCCATGAAACAGAACCCTTCATCTGCACAGAAGACACCCATCGAGCCCCGTTTCTTCCTCTTACGCTCTGGGTGTCATGGTGGACAACAAATTGACCATGAGGCAGCAGTGTGCCCTCGTGGCCAAGAAGGCCAATGGGATCCTGGGCTGCATTAAGAAGAGCGT